TAGCCAAATTGGCCGTCGACGCATGGCCCAGCAGGCAGGGCGGTTTCCTGCTCTTTTTCGGTGGTTGTTGGACTGTTTTGCTTGAAGCGTTTGGCAAAGCCCGCCCTGCTCGTTTGACTTCATTCTCGGTTTGCATAGCACCGACAAGTCAACCACAAGCTTCACCCATTTCAATTTGTAGCTGCAGCTGCAGCGGCGGAGGTTAGAACGACCACCCGGTCACAAAGCGTTTGTAGGTCTTGCATGTTGAACAATTGAGGATCCACGCGCCAGCCGACGCTATAGAGAACAGCAGCAGTGCACCGCCAGCGTCTCATCTGCTCTGCATGAATCAAGCCTTGGACTGGCGCCACGTTGAGATCCGATGAGAACAAAACAATGCGGACAATCACATGTGAATCAGGGTTCGCACCATCGGGATTCGAAGTTTGGTACGAGCAAGGAGCACGGATTGCGCCCAATAGTTCCTCAATCAACTATAAAGTGAAGCAGATTCATCGGTAAGCCAGCCTGCCTCTGCAATCAGGACCACAAATAAAAATAAAAAAAAAAAAGGCTCACCTCCAGGTCGATGCGAGCCTTGCAAAGAAGCAGATCCAAGGGTCGTGCACCCGTCTGCCGCAGCAGGTCATCAGGTATCAACCGCAGGTGCAGCAGAACAGTGCAAAAGGTACGGCATTGTGGTAAAGGGCTTACAAGATCCTTCGCATCCGGGTCGGCACCGTGCCGCAAGAGTTGCTGGATACCCTCTCGGCTGGCAGGCAAGGCAGTGCAGGCTACATGGAGCGGCGTTTGGCCGTCCTATGTGATATAATCAATGTTCCGAAACATGAGGAATGAGTTCTTCGCGAACGGAAGATACAGCAGGAAACAAGATGGGAAGCAGGGAGCACCGACGGAAAGCGGACGCAAAACGGGAAAAAAGCAGGATAGCGGGAAAGAAGAAGAGGAGCAAGAGGCAGAGCGAAAGCGCACGAGGAGCAGGGTACAGAGGAGGAGAGACTGCGCAGAGGAGACGAGCAGCGAGAGCAGGAGCAGCAGCCAGAGGTAGAGAGGCGGGTGGTACTGTACTTGTACTGACGTCTTTCTTGGCTTCGGTATCAGCACCGTGTTTCAACAGCATCTCCACCACTTTGACATAACCGCTACTGCAGGCGACGTGCAGTGGTGTCCAGCCAGTCTGTGGAATGATGCATCGGCATGACGTGCAGTTACGGCATCATCATGACATTGTGGTTATCGTGCCATCATCGTGGGTAAAGGGAACTGTACTGACGTTGTCCTTGGCTTCAGTATCAACACCGTGCTTAAACAGCATCTCCACAACCTCAACATGACCGTTTTTGCAGGCTTTGTGCAGTGGTGTGTGGCCATCCTGTTGGATGATGCATCGGTATGACGTACAGGTACAACAGCGTCCTCGGCATCATCCTGTGGTACAGGTGTACCATCATAGGACGGGCAAAGAAGGAAAGACAGAGGTACTGTACTGACCTTGCCCTTGGCTTTAGCATCGACACCGTGCACCAACAGCATCTCCTCCACCTCGACATGACCCTGCATGCATGCCCAGTGCAGTGGTGTCCAGCCATCCTGTGGGATGATGCGTCGGCATGACGTAAAGTTACGGCATCATCAGCAACATTCTGTGGAACAGGATGGGGAGGCCAAGGGGAGAGGGTGGTGCTGTACTGACGACGTCCTTGGCTTTGGTATCAACACCGTGCGTCAACAACATCTGCGCCACCTCGACATGACCGCTATAACAGGCTTTGTGCAGTGGTGTCCAACCACGCTGTGGGATAATGCATCGCCAGGTAATAAATATCGGTCCAGCATCATGAGCATCATCATGTGGGACAGGGATAGCATCATAGTGGGAGGGAGGGGAGTGGGTGAGCGTAAAAGGGGGACAGAGAGGGTTTTGTACTGACGTCGGTCTTGGCTTTAGCATCAACACCGTGCGTCAGCAGCATCTCCGCCACTTTGAAATGACCGTTTTTGCACGCCCAGTGCAGTGGTGTCCAGCCATCCTATGGGATTATGCATCGGCATAACGTACAGGTACAGCATCATCAGCAGCAGCATCATCACGTGGTACGGGATAAAAGATGGGTAAGGGAGGTAGAGGGAGGTACTGTACTTACGTCGTCCGTGGCTTCAGTATCAACACCGTGCTTCAATAGCATCTCCACAACCTCGACATGACCTCTGTTGCAGGCATAGTGCAGCGGAGTATAGCCATCCTGTTGGATGATGCATCGACATGACGTACAGGTATAGCATCCATCGTCATCATCATCATGTGGTGCAGGTGTGTGTACCATTATAGTGGGATTACGGGGCGGGGGCGTCAAGGGGGCCAGAGGGAGGTACTGTACTGACGTCGGCCTTGTCTTCAACATCAACACTGTGCTTCAACAGCATCTCCACCAATTTGACATGACCATCATAGCAGGCCCAGTGCAGTGGTGTCCAGCCAGTCTGTGGGATAACAGATCGGCATGACGTACAGGTACGGTATCATCAGCCATCATCATGTGGCACAGGATAGGGGGCAAAGTGGGGATTGGGAGGTCTCGTGCTGACGTTGTCTTTGGCTTCAGCATTAACAGCGTGTCCCAACAGCATCTCCACCACCTTGATATAACTCTGGATGCACGCCTCATGCAGTGGTGTCGTGCCATTCTATGGGACAATGCATCGGCATGACGTACAGGCACAGCGTCGTCATGACATGATGGTTGTGTACCAACATAGGGGCGCGGCGGGGGTATATAGGGAGGTACTAACCCAATCCTTGGCTTGAACATTAACACCGTGGTTCAACAGCATCTCCACCACCTCGACATGACCGTTGCCGCAGGCCCAGTGCAGTGGTGTTTTGCTGAACTGTGGAATGATGCATAGGCATGACGTACAGGTACAACAGCATCGTCAGCATCATCATGTGGTACAGGATAGGGAGGGGGAGGGAGGTACTGTACTGACTTTGTCCGTGGCTTCAGTGTCAACATCGTGCTTCAACAGCATCTCCACCACCTCGACATGACCTCTGTTGCAGACATAGTGCAGTGGTGTATGACCACGCTGTAGGATCATGTATTGGCATAACGTACAGGACACAGCAACATCATCCTGTGGTGGTGTGTCAACATAGGGGCGCGGCGGGGGTATATAGGGAGGTACTAACCCAATCCTTGGCTTGAACATTAACACCGTGCTTCAACAGCATCTCCACCACCTCGACATGACCGTTGTCGCAGGCCCAGTGCAGTGGTGTTTTGCTGAACTGTGGAATGATGCATAGGCATGACGTACAGGTACAGCAGCATCGTCAGCATCATCATGTGGTACAGGATAGGGAGGGGAAGGGAGGTACTGTACCGACTTTGTCCGTGGCTTCAGTGTCAACATCGTGCTTCAACAGCATCTCCGCAACCTCGACATGACCTCTGTTGCAGGCATAGTGCAGTGGTGTATGACCATCCTGTTGAATGATGCATCGACATGTCGTACAGGTAGATCATCATCATCAGCATCATCATATGGTGGTGGGTAAAGGTAAAGGGGGAAGATGGAGGTACTGTACTGACGTCGTCCGTGGCTTCAGTATCAACACCGTGCTTCAATAGCATCTCCACAACCTCGACATGACCTCTGTTGCAGGCATAGTGCAGCGGAGTATAGCCATCCTGGATGATGCATTGACATGACGTACAGGTACAGCATCCATCGTCATCATCAACATGTGGTGCAGGTGTGCCGTCATAGGGGAATCAAGGAGGGGGCAGTGCTGACGTTGGTCTTGGCTTTGGCATCAACACCGTGCGTCAGCAGCATCTCCACCACCTTGACATTACCCTTCATGCACGCCTGATGCAGTGGTGCCGTGCCTTTCTGTGGAATGATGCATACAATATACACAACACTCAGTGACATATTCCAAGTGTAGTGGCCAATCATGCCAAACAGCTCACGTACCCCTTCATCTTTGTACTGGGCAGCATCTTGAATACGTTGATGGTCCCAACCGGTCAACAGCTGCACCGCCTCTTGTGGATCTGATGACCGACACGCATCCCACAGCTGCTCTCCATCATCACTCATGGTAACGGTATCTCTGTCACCATCCACCACCAATCTCATGAGCCCCCTCCAAGCACAACTCGTACGATGTCGGGTTCCAAAACGGTAGGCAGTCCGTAACCCTGGGTTTTTTTCCCCACTGATGCGCCAAAGAACTCACCTCTGGCAAACAGCACCGGTGATCAGTTGCAAAGTGAGATGTACTCGTTGGTTGATCAGCGCACGTGAAGTGTGATCAGGGCCCACCGAAAAAAACAAAAAAAAAAGAAACTGGCAGCGGTGCTCTCTCAACCAAAACGACGAGGCCTCACCGAAAGGAAGCCGTCGTATCACCAACAGGCAAGCAGGATCATGACCCCGCACGCAATAGCCCAACGCCTCCAGCAGCCAGACGCCGATGCCGATCCCACGTCGTCCCGATGCCAACTCACACGAGATGCAAGCAGCAGCAGCAGAAGAAAAATAGCCTAATAAGGAGGAAGGGGGCAAACTGTAAGGGGATCAAATGTCATCATCTTTTGGTGGACAACAGTTTAAAGGGGACTGGTGTGCTTTTGCTTTTTGTGTGTGTGTGTGTGTGTGTGTCTGTGTCTGTGTCTGTGTCTGTGTCTGTGTGTCTGTGAAGGGGAGAGGCTTTGGCTCGGCACACTCGCACTTGTTGTCCCTGTAGAAAAGGGCCACTACACAACTCCGTCGCTTGATCAAAAGACAAGCGCAGAGCACGTATTGCTGCAAATTGTCTTGCTCGACAAGGGCAACGTGTCACAGTGGCCTCTTTCAATTGCGGCTCTTTCACGACCAGCAGCCGTACCAAGCCAATACTTGTACAAGAACACAGCTCGTTCCACCAAGGCTCCGTCACACTCGGGATTGCAGAGCAGCTTTATAAGATGAGTTACGACCAGGAGTTGTCAGGAAGAGGGTGGATGACGACAAAAGGCAGCGACTTGGGACTGGATCTGGTCGGGTGAGAGCGTGCCCGTGTCGAGATCGAGCCGCGGGAGGTTGGAATTGGCTGCCCAGAAGCGGGCATAGGCCTCCTGCAGCGTCGCTTGGTACGGATCGGCTGCGTCCAGAAGCTTGGCCTCCTCGTCCGCGTTGGTGCTGGTTTCGCCAGGCGTCAGGGCCGCCGCCCGGTCTTGCAGACGAGCCAATTGCACTTGCGGGTCCACAGTCAGCCAAATGAAGCCAGCGGGTCGGGGGAGGTCAGCAGGCCATCGCCACTCTGGAGCCTCGGGCCGCGGGAGCATGGCAGGACCTCGTGCCCCAGCCGTGGCTGCGGTGGCGTAGGCCACAGTAGAGCCCACCAGCCGTTCCAGCACCACAACATCAGATTTGAGCCCAGGGTCGTCATCCTCCATCAGTGTTTCGTCAGCTACAGCTAGATAGTTGGTGGCAAAGTAAAAGGCCCGACGCAAAGGCTCGGCCTGTGCATCAAACAAGGCTCGGTGCTGGGCCCAGGGCATGGTGGGCGTCGCCACGCTTCGTATTCCGGCCGCGGCCAGCCCACGCGTGGCTGTTGACTTGCCCACCCCGTCCATGCCCTCGAGCACGTAAAATGGGCGCGTTGTCTTGGCCCGAGCCCGACGAGCTTCATAGTCATCGAGCGCTGCCAGCAGCTCGGTCACCACCGACGTCAGCGCAGCCGTGGGCCCGGGTTGGCCATGCTGCTTCAGGGCCCGGCGTACGCTCTGCACACTGGAAAACACGTGTGGATGCACCCCATAACACGGCTGCGCCATCTGCGCCATGACCTCAGGTCCCAGTTCTTCCCCTCGTCCAGCCCAGGCCAAGCCGCACAACACCCCAAGCGCCCAGACCACCACAGCCATCCACTGGCAACGCCACCTCCCTGCAAACACCCCAACGTCGTCAACCAGCCTACACCACAGCCCCCAACTTCACAACACCACAAACACACCCACCTGATCTCGCANATCCAACGTGTGCCGCCACATCCAAGAAGACCTCCACCACCCCCACTACCAAA